CCGTTACCCTAAGGAGAACTATGGGGTAAAGCCCTGACCCCATAGTTCTCCTTTTAATCACTGATAACACTAAACTGATGAACAGTAAAAGCGCTTTAATCATTGCCTATGGGCGTTTTTTGCGGGCGCACGCAATTTTAAGGCTTGACATGTTTGTCAATTTACACCACGCGACCCCGACTTACTAAAAATATGGGTAACAATAAATGTTTCATAACATAACGTAGGTAAACTTTTTTTTTTTTTACATTTATGGTACTTTTTTCATTGTATAGTTAAACAAAAAATACCCCCCGTGGTGATTATATAACTACAAAAGAAAGCTCTATCTGTCCCCAAAATGTTTTAACATAAATTGCAAGGCTATAGTCCGGTCATGCTGACTGATGACATTTTTGACTGACTGGTGAGACACCCATCAAATTTTTCAAGCCCTGTTCATAGTGTTTGAGAAATTGAGGTGCTTAACCTTTTATATAACCTTGTAGTGCATCACAGTTGTGTGCCCTCTCTGCCATGCTATGCCAAAGGTGGTTTAAATAAAATGAGTTTGGTGTATTCCTGTGAGATTATTGGACAAGAGTTGAGCTGGTGTCATGATTAAGATTTCCTTACATTTTTACACTGCCAGAGATATCGTCATAAACTTGTTTCATAATCCAGTTATGTAGAAGATGTAATTTTTAGGGACTCTAAGGACAGCTACTGCTTGCTTGGTAATTCTAAAACGATAAAGTAGAGTTGGCAGTTTCTTCTGAGAGATCTGTAATTTATAGGTAATCTGGTCTTCTTTCTATTTCATCCCTTTTTAATGACTATTGCTTTGCTAAAGGAGAATTGTTGGGTTTGGTATGTATGTGTGTTTTTGATGCAACGTTTATGGGCTTTTGTGGTATTAAATCTGAACACCTTCGTAAAGGCTTACTGTATGACCTAATTTTGGAGTGTTTGGTTTTCTGTTCTGCAGACATATGTATCTATATACTTCTTTTTTTTTTTTTTAATATCTATTACATTTTCCAAATATACATATAACATATATAAATAATCATAAACACACCAAAACAAAAATTTACATTATTTATTTTATATTCCTGTGTGTGTGTGTTCCCACTTACTCTTTCTTGAGTGTTCCAGTGCTCTTCCCGTCCCCTCCCTCCAATATATTCCTCCCCTTCCCCTATTCCCTTTATTACATATGTTTATAAATTCCCAATTCAAACACCTATATGGTCAACAGTATGGAGGATGTACCTCCCTGGAGACAGTCGATTCCTCTCAATCGTGTACATTCCCAGAGTGTAAAATATTATATTAATAATTATGTTGTATTTACAATTACCCCTAACCCTTTTTTTTTTTCTTCGGTTAAAAAAATTAAATACCATCTTTTATTTAACCTAAAATACACAAATGCAGTGTTACAAAGTTTACATCAGAATAAAACTGCATGCACATTTGCAATCGCACCCCACTGGAATGCGTTTGGGGTGCCACTTAAATGAATGGCACTGTAACGCACATCCTGCAGCAGAATTTGTCAGGCCGAAACCAAAAATTATTTGTATGCATTATTAGTTTTCCATTAGTTTAATGGATCTAAAATCTGATTCGAAAGCCTCCAACCAATATAATAAAATATAGGGCTACAGCTAACGATTATTTTCAAAATGGATTAGTTAGCCGCTTTTTAAGTTCGAATAATCGGGAATAAATTATAAAAACAAAAATGGCTCCAGTGATGGACTACTAGTTTGCATTGAGGTTCTAGTCCATCCAGGAGCAAGCTTGGAGTAGTGACTACTTTACAACACACAGGGATCACAAGGAACAAAAGTAGCCACCCTCCAGAAGGAAGGACAGTGTTGGCTATAGAGGAATACAACAAATCCCAGCAATAGTACATTATACAGCGCAATGCAGAACACCACCAGCTATAGAAGAATACTGCAAATCCCAGCAATATATTATACATAGTGTATAATGTATTGCCTGGATTTGTATTCCTCTCTAGCTGATGATACATTGCTCTGTATAATATACAGCTCAATGTACCATCGGCTGTAGAGAAATGCATATCCCACTATCCCAGCAATGCATTAATACAGCTAATTGTGGGGGGAAAGTACAGGCACAGTCTTACCTAAACAGTCTCCCAGCAACTTTCTACCCCGAGATCATGGGCCTCTTGTTGGCAGCTGCCGTCCCCCCACGCCTGCTCCTCCTGGCTTCAGTCTCTCTGTGAGAATCGTGGATAGCGTGTGCAGGGAACGGCGAGTCAGTGAGAGCTGGGTGAGGCGGGGAGGAGAAGCGGCGTACATGGAGCCCGTGGGCAGGTCAACTAATCTGATGGAAACCGCTGACAATGTTTTCCATCATCGATTATTGTCGACTTAATTGTTGCAGCCGTAATAAAATAACTGAGCATTATTTGAAATAACATTAAAACTTGACCTAAACATACAATTTTATTATATATATCTAATAAAAAATATAAAAGCCAAGTTATTACTTTAGCGTTGGCTATGAATATTGGCCGGAGAATTTATTGCTCTCACTCAGACGTGGGCAGCGATGCCTGACGTGTAGCACAATCGTCATTTTTGTATATAGGTGCACCTGAAAATTCTCCTTCAGGTCCTCCTCTGCTAATTGACAGCAGGCAGTGGGCGCGGGTGCAATAGCCAGACTATTTGTCTACTGCAATTTTTAAAATGTCCAATTGCAGACTGGCTATTGCTCCCAGCTGCAGGATGGGAGCTAGCCGTAAGAGGGGGCGTGGAGGCGCAGCGGGGACATGGGGAGGAGAAGCGGAAACCGCAGCTAATGCAAGTGATCGGGCATCTCTAGAGACGCCTGATCGCTTGAATGTAAAGCTGCCGGCCGTTTAATTAGAGCGGCCGACCAGGAAGCTACTTGTCCGGCGCCGGCTTCCTCCCGTCGGACGAGAGGAGAAGTGGAATTTTCAAGCCCCGCTCATTCAACTCTATGGAGACACAAGCTGTCTGCCCTTGCATGCTGCTTTCCGCAGCTCCTGAGTTTTGACAGCTGCACACAGGAGGTGTACATACCGGGATCTATAAAGTCTGTGACTGAGGGCGTACAGCAGCATGTGAGGGTGCACATCTTCTCCATCTGCATAGTTAAATAAGCACCTCCACGCTTTTAGCCACAGCTTTGGGTGTATCAAAACCCAGCCCTTCACGCTGTATGGAGCAACATACCCAATGTGAATGAGGGGTAAATGTGATGTTATTATGAACATTGTGACAATATAGGGAAATCTCGTCTTTTGCTTAAAATATAGCAGACACAGTCGCTACACTTGCCATGTAATCTTGAACATTGCATTTTTGCATGTGGCTGCAGGTTGAAATGAAATGGTAAATGCAATATGGCAATCTATATTTTCTGTGTAAAGGACTCAGAAATGTTATTTCCTGATTATGTGCTTGGATTACTGCTCCCCCAAGAAGTCTGTAGTGAACTGTAAGTAAAATGACAGATCTCTCCTGCAATAGTTTTATTATCCAAGGCTCATCCCTATCTATAGAAGGACATTTGAAGGTTTTTCTACAACACTGATTGCTCGTATAATTTATAATGAAGTCTAAACTTCCTCTTTAGTTTTAGAAAGGATATGGTAAGGCTGACGATAAGGCCCCCTCTTAACAGTAACTTCAAAAATTCCTGCCATGCCACTTCAGTATCAAAATAGTTACAAATAAAGGGACTTTTTATCCTTAATATTTTTCCTATACTATGATGATGCCATCAGTCTGCTGCAGGTGGGAGGTAGCACTCCTCTCCCCCCTGCAATATGGTAACTTTGTAGCACATCCACACCTGTAGAAAGGTGTGAGGCTGCTGTGGGAGCTGATCTGTGTCTGACACTTTCCAACACAGACGGGTACTGACTGGCACCAGGCTTTACATGGTTGTCAGCAAAAAGCTGACCACACTCTCTGAACAAGGAAATAAACGCCCGCAGCTGTAAGAATACCTGAACAGTGTCTGCAGCTGATTGGCTAAACAATGACACTGCAGCCAACGGTTTTTGTTTTTTTGTTGAATTCAGCCAACAGCGCGCCCCCCCCCCCACCACCACCACCACCACTTCAATTTTGTTTGTCAGCAGAACTCGGCCTAAGTTCATGCAGTGTATGGGCAGCTTTAGTTCTGGGAGTTGACCCTGGATATTTCCTAAACAGAAATGAAGCCATCCTTCAGCAAGACCGCAGCTGTGTCCCCCTGTGAGCAGTAATATAAAATACCTGTTAGTGTTACACTTACTCTTAGACATTACGTGGCATGCATGCACAAAGTCAAAAGGTTTTTAAGTGATTTAAAAAATGGAATGAATCACAATGGATGCCGCCGCTCCTTGATGTTTCAAAAGTTTAGTTTCCCGCACAATCGGCTAGTCCCCTGAGCACTGGTCCTGATGGCCTGTTTTAGGGTGGCTCCGTCCACTTCCAGAGTCCTATGGAGCCACCCTTGTGTGTGTGCTAGTAAGCTGTGTCCATAAAGACACCGCAAGCCACTGCCCTGTTCCTTGCTCTTTCTTCCTCTCCAAGCTAGTAGATTGATGGCTGCTGGAGACTGCTCCTGGGTAGGAAGTCCCTTCCTGGATAGGAAGTTCAGGGAAGCCAAACAAAGAGTTGGAGCTGTTTGGAAACATGAATTTTAAGTGCTTTGGCGGCCAAATTTAAATAAATTGTTGAGCAAAATGTGTTTTCTTGTTCTGAGTTCATTGGAAAAAAAAGTTGAGTATTACTACTTTAACAAAGAAGTTAGGTCTGTTCTAGTTTAACTAGGCTTTTTGTTATTGGATTTTATGAATGTGAGTGGATTGACTGTTCAGCTATTATATAAATGAAATATCTGAAGGACTGTTTAGAAGTCAAATATTTTTGAATCATGGGTTGTGAATTATCTATACACAGTCCACAAATATTGCTAAAAAAATAATATTTTTTTCTCTCTCCCTCCTGTTTTAGTTGGTGACAAAGTGCCGGCAGACATAAGGCTAACTTCAATCAAATCTACAACCTTAAGAGTAGATCAGTCAATCCTAACTGGTATGTAGGATGTTTTGTTTTTTTGCATTCCAGATTAGATATATCCCTTAGTTCTAGCCACGTGCTGTTTTAAATACCTTTCAAGTTGATTGCATACCTTAACTCATCAGTTGTATGTTCCAGAGTTATTGAAAGGGTTTCTTCCAGTAGGGAATTTGCTCATATCAATTATCTGTTTTTGAGGTGGGCACCCTACATTGGCACGTTTGCAGTGATACAGGTCTCCTCTGTTGTGTTTAGCTAGGAAAAGATATACCAGTTTAAAAGATACTAGATTTTGTTTAAGAATGATTGCATTAAACATTGCTTTTGTGGGTGAATAAAAATCTTCCCTTGTTATCTAGGCGAGTCTGTCTCCGTTATCAAACACACTGACCCTGTCCCTGATCCACGTGCTGTAAATCAAGACAAAAAGAACATGCTCTTTTCTGTAAGTACATCCAGCTGTGCTCCTTAGCTAAACATGAACCTCCAGACTACTTCTAGTGCTTTGTGGTTTTCTGTCCATCTTTTATTTTTTATTTACTGCACCAGTGTCATTTGTATTATCTTATTCTCAGGGTACAAATATTGCTGCTGGCAAAGCAATTGGAGTAGTTATAGCGACAGGAGTCAACACTGAAATCGGCAAGATTCGAGATGAAATGGTAGCAACTGAACAAGAGAGGACTCCACTGCAGCAGAAGTTGGATGAATTTGGTGAACAACTTTCCAAAGTGATCTCTCTAATTTGTATTGCTGTCTGGTTGATCAATATTGGACACTTTAATGATCCTGTCCATGGAGGCTCTTGGATCAGAGGAGCCATCTACTACTTCAAAATTGCGGTTGCCCTTGCTGTTGCTGCTATCCCTGAAGGTTTACCTGCAGTTATTACTACTTGTTTGGCTCTGGGTACTAGACGAATGGCCAAGAAAAATGCTATCGTCAGAAGCTTGCCATCTGTTGAAACTTTAGGTTGTACATCAGTTATCTGCTCTGACAAGACGGGAACTTTAACCACTAATCAGATGTCTGTGTCTAAGGTAAGTGAACAGCCATATAATATTAAATCTGAATGTATGTGTCCATGATGCTGTTTCCACTTTTGCTTGTATTGTGGCTTTTGGGGAAAATGTGTCATTATTATGTGTACGACACTGGCATCATTTTGCCTGCACAGTCAATGTCACCTTGAATGTGTTTTTCGTGGGTGGGGGGAATTGAGAGGGGGAAAAAAAATCCAATCTTACCGTGCCAGTCGGCCAAGCCTGTGGTGCATTGTCTTGTTAAGTGAGTCATGGATGACTGGTCAATTTTATGGTTCTATCCCTCACAGCATTCTAAACAGATAAGGATGTGACCAAGCTATTGTGAGACTCATAACATATTTAGTTTCTTTTTGCTTAGAGGGGTGAGCTCTGGCAGAATAGCTACTTGGAAATAATGGATCTAGTTTTCGCTTGCATGTAAGGTTCTGCTTTTATACTGCAGCATAGAATTTTAATAATAAACCAGAAATCTTTAGATTCGCTGGTTACATAATTGCATTACAATTCTTATTCAAACAATGAATAACTGGTGTGATGTTTTGCTTGACCTAATCCACCGTAAGCGAAAAGGTTACTTTTCCTCTAAAGAGTGAATGCTGATCAGTATTCAAGAAGAGACTAGTTGCAGTGTCGTGTCATAACTGCTGTAGTCAGACGAAGGATTGTTCTGTTCTGTTTCCGAAGAATGAAGCCAAGGGACCTTGGCAATAAAGTATTAGATCTTGTCAGGCTTAATCTGTGTCTCCTGCTGTTAAAGGGGTAGGCAGCATCCTTTCAAGAAGAAAGCTAGATAAAATCTTTTGAGAAATTAAGTTGTGGAACATTTTGGTGGAATTGTTGGTGGAAAAGACTAACTTTGCTATTAAGGGAATGGTGGTATAGGAGAAAATTAAGTCTTAAGAATACTTTATGCAGTTCAAGGTTCTCTATGCAGTTAAATCTGCTGGGTTTATTCATGAATTCTTGAAATGAGGGACATCATTTAGCTGACAAATACTGTTTATACTGTATGTAAACGCTTGCTGTACATTCTCTGATACTAGCAACCCCCCCAGGGCCCTTTTTCCCCCGCTGACTCTCATTGCAGAGGGGGCCCTTTTTCCCCCGCTGACTCTCATTGCAGAGGGGGCCCTTTTTCCCCCGCTGACTCTCATTGCAGAGGGGGCCCTTTTTCCCCCGCTGACTCTCATTGCAGAGGGGGCCCCTTTTCCCCTCGCTGACTCTCATTGCAGAGGGGGCCCCTTTTCCCCCCGCTGACTCTCATTGTAGAGGGGGCCCCTTTCACCCCGCTGACTCATTGTAGAGGGGGCCCCTCCCCCTGCTGAGCTGACTCTCATTGTAGAGGGGGCACTCCCCCCCCACGCTGTAGACGGGGCCCTTTTTATAAATCCACCCGCTGACTCTCATTGTAGAGGGAGACCTGAAAGGTTCCTCTGTTAAAGTTGAGGAAGGCTGTTGTACATCCATTCAAATGTCTTTCCCCAAATATAGAGCTTATATTTCCCTGCCAGCAACCCAAATAAGAGGAAGTGTTTGTCTAAAGTTACTCTGTGCCAATAACAGTTTTTGTGGTTTTTTTTGTTTTGTTTTGTTTTTTTATGACTGCATGGGCACTTTCAAGCTATTGTCTGTCTGTATCTAAATTAGATGTTTAGTTTTCATTTTGCAACTTTGCTATTTTTAGGATTAAATTAAAATATAATAAATAAAATGTAAAATGTTTACGTGGTAACACACTTAAATCTTACAGGCCAGTTTAATGTTTAACTTTTATAAGTTCTTAAACCTCAGCTGACTATGTATAGATATACCCTGCAAAGGGAAAATGAGTCACTTCTGTGATGTTGATACCAGAGAATTTCTTTTTCTTTTCCGCAAAAGTACAAAAAAATGCATTAGCTAGAAAATAACTTAAAACCGCCAAATCTATTTTCTGAAAGCATAGACACTGTAGAATAAATTCATCGCATCGTATTTGCTTCCAAGTTTACACACTGCAGAGGACTGATGTACCTCAGTGTCCTCCTGCATGCCATACTGGCGAGGTTTGTAATCCCAGGCTCTCGGGAGGAGCATGAGAGCCTGGGAATCACAGAGGGTAGGGGGGTTCTGGCAGGGGGCAGCACCCTGTGAGTCCAGTAAAAGTGATTGGACCTCTCTAAAGCTGCCTGGATTACTTTTACTTTGAAGCTCTTAGTTTAAGAAAATAAACGTGCTTACGGCTCCAAGGTCTGGACATACAGGCTATGCCCAAGACTGTTTGTTTATAGGACAACTGTACCTTGTATACAATTTTATGGCCCACCTGAGAAATATGTGCTTTTGCCCTCGATCTGATCTCGTCCAGATCTGCACAGCAAGCATCCCTGCCAGGTCCCTTGCATCCTTTGCCATGAATACAACTTCCCATAGGAATGAATGCAGCCTCCATCAGTCCTGCAGAGTATGGCCCGCCCCATAGAAATGAATGCGGCCAAGGCACCCATGTGCAGGATGAATAGTATCCAGTGAAGATCACTGGAATAAAGGTAGTATTTCACAAGGTGGGCTGTTCTCAGGGGTGGGGGCATGCCTTGAAAAAAAAAATCTTGAATCATTTGTGTTGAGTCCTCATCATGCCTTCTGTCTGTCAGCGGGGAGGAGAGGGAAGCAAAATGTTTCAACCAGGAAGTAGTAGTGATGTGGTGTGCCAAAAGTCTATAAATGAAAAGATTGGCTTGCAGAGTTACTGAATCCTGTGTCATGTTAAGTAGTAAATAAAAGTAATTCGCTGTCACACACTTGAAGGGTTTTTAAAGTATTGATATGTTTATTCAATACCTAATGTCACATACTGTCATACGGTGCTAACGTTTCGGGTCCGCACGGGGAACCTTCATCAGAGCGACAGTGACCTCTGATTACAATTACTTGTTTTTACTATTAGTGTTTTGCACAACGCCATCCGTGTGGTCACCTGGGCACCACATATACCTTGTGGTTTTGAGACCGTGGCGCTGCGAATGGGATTTGTACTTTGATAAGTAGTAGACATATTTTGTGTTGGCTGTTTTTCATAGCTTTTTGTCTGGAGTTCCTCTTCCAAGACAAAGCCACACAGCAGCAGAATTGCAATCTGCTCTTAGCAAGAGGTCTGTTAGACAAATTGGTGAGTTGCAAATGAGGTGACTGTATGCACCTACTCTATTCCTATTCTACAAAGTAAAAAGCACTAGTTTAGCTTGGCTTATGTTGGGACTGTGACATCTAGTGGACCTAAGTTCTTATGGCTCAAACTGGTTTGTTGGCCTGGAGAATTTTACCTGTTGCTGTATCTTCCATTTTGGGAGAAATGCAACGTCAAGACATGGGTGATTTTATATTGGAGCTCATGTTAAATCAATGTATTTCAAAGCCTAATGTTAAGACCAGAGTTGTATGTGAAAGGTGTTCATTTAAATAAATCTGTGGTATGGGAGATCACGCTTATACAGTGTTTTCCACTTGGTGTGCTTCCAGGCTTTTTTTTTATTCTGGTTCTGTTTCAAGGGGTCATACATTTCTTAAGGCAAATGGGAGTAAATATGAGCGCAAAACATAATAAAAATGTAATTTCATCTTTAAAGTTGAACCCTACTGATGTGTTTTTTTTTTTTAAATCTTCCTACAGATGTTTGTTGTTGATAGAGTTGAAGGTGATAATTGCTTCCTGAATGAGTTTTCCATAACAGGCTCCACGTATGCTCCCATAGGAGAAGTGTAAGTTTCTTTTGAATCTCTTTACTTTCTGGCTGATTGGTTTATCTAAAATGCATTGTCATTCCATGCTGTCATTTTGAGAGCAAACTGGGGACCGATTTTAAAGGAGAACTATGAGGTGAGTGCTTTTCACTCACCTCATAGTTCTAGCCGACCTGTGACAATGAGACTGTCACAGGTCGGCTCAGTAGATTGGGAGGTGAGCGAACACATACTGGAGTTCGCTCACTTCTCGATCCTGTCACGACTCTCTGCCGTGACAGGGGAGGGGATGGATTCCCCCCCTCCCCGCTCCGATCCGCCATCGCTGACTGGTGGAACGGACGGGGGAGGGGGCGGGTACAGCTGGCTCTGCCTCTAGATAGGCAGAGCCAGCTGTCACTCACGCAGCTGGGCGCATCTCGATGTCGGGATGCGCTCCGGCGTCTCAGTATACCGTGAGCTGTAGCTCGCGGTATACTGAGCTTAGGGTGACGGGAGGACGCTAGTTTGTGTCGTCCTGTTACCCTAAGGAGAACTATGGGGAAAAGCCCTGACCCCATAGTTCTCCTTTTAGGTAGCTCTGAGGCTGTCATCAGTCCCATACACTGATGTGTCGCAGCTTACATGCTTGTTCCAGGACAGGGACTCGCTAAGTAGAGCAGTCACTGGTGATTACATACTTGTATCTTACACCTGCAAAAACAAGTTGGCAACAGCAGCTCCTAATATTTTTTATTTCCTAAAGCTGGGAGAATGTAGTGCATGCCATTACTGGTTTATTACTTACAAATTATGCAGCGCCCGCAACATATAATGTGTTGAATATCATAAACCCTAAAATTAATTTAAATATAAATATAAGATAATTTTAATAAATAAATAAGTGATTCAAATAAATAAATTATATTCATATAACATACACATGAATATTCCGTGCCTTTAAGATCTTTTTTTATATAAAAAAACCATCAATGGCCCTGGATCATTGATCCCACAGGGTATGTGAAATAATTAGTGACAACTTCCAAAAATTGTTAGTTGATGTGATGTGTCACGATCCAAAAAAACTGTTCAAAAAATATTCCAAAGAAGACAAATGTTCAAAAGAAATTCCGTGAACTTTGTTGGGGATAAGGGTTAATACCACCTATATCCCCTCAAAAGGTGCACTCACCGTGAGTAGTGGCTGTGATAAGCAGCCGGAAAACGCTCAAACAGAAGCTCCCAGGGCTGAAGCATCCATCCACCGTCTCGTTGTGCTCGTGAGTAGTGGCTGTGACAAGCAGCCGGAAACCGCTCAGTTGTGCTCTTCAGTAAAGGATATGTCTCCCCGTTTTATGGAAGAAAAAAGCCTTTCATTGTGTAATATTTTTCAAGGCTTTATTAAAAACATCAAGTTTAAAACGAACAACCAAAATTTTTTTTGTTCGATCAATGTAAAACAGCCTAGGAACGGAGTCCTGTATTCAGTATGGCGTGTAGTGAGGCCCGCCCCTACGCGTTTCGTCGTCTTGACGTCTTCAGGGGGTTTTAGCAGGTCACTGGTTACTGGTTTATTACTGCTAATCATAACTTTCTGTGCTACCTGTTTATGCCCTGCTTGTTACTACTGTGGCATCTCTACCTTCTCCCTTTTTTTATAGTGTAATTTTGCAAGTAGCAAGGCTAGTGGGAGAAGAGCACAGTGACACAAGAAAAAAGGGGCATTAAAGCATACTAAATATTTCTTTTGGACCAGGTTCACACCGTTGTCGCAGCTTTTTTTTGGGCCTAAAATGGGCTTTCGGGAGCATTTCCATGCATCCCAGTGCATTCCAGCCCAGAGAAAATGAGACCAGCAGTATTTTTATTTTTTGCCTGGTCTGGAACTGACAGTTCCTCCTGTAACATAGTTGTATTTACTGTTAATCCTTCAGTTGATCTATTGTTGTTTTTCCAACTTCCTATATAAGGTGACAATAGAACACCTGTTTGTTCTTCAGTTTTATTGTCATCTTGTGGGACAGGGTAGTCTTGGATGTACATATCAATTTAAATAGTATAAATAAAAGCTGATACACGTTGGTGTTTGGTTTGTCCCAACCCTGTAACTGCCACGTTTGTTGGACAGTTTGCTCTGTTGAAAGAAGTGGAAACATACCGGATCTACTGATGGGATCAACAGTTTATAAAATGGTTACAGGGTGCCCAGGGAAAAAAAACATGCAATAGACAAGACTGTAGTATGTCATTTTTAAAATGTTTCCTATAGTTCCACTTTGGCCGGAAGCTAAAGGGGGCGGGGATTCATAATTGGTTGCTATGATGCCAGCGGCCCATTGTCCAAGCAACCAATGAGCAGCAGCATGTCAGATTTGTGACCACCTCCCATTATATACATGCCCTACTCTGAATGCTGACGTCTCTCGTACACCAGCTCAGAGTTGGCCTTAATTACCGTCCGGTTTCCAATCTGTAAACTGGCAGTAATTCTTTCTGAATTTGTTGCAGCCATAGTGACAGATTCTTAAAGGGGCACAATTAACTTCATGAATCTCTCACAAATGTTGGTAGGGCTGGCAAAAGGGCTTTTTGAATTTGGTGCAGGACCTTTCTAAAAGTCCATACTGCCAGAAAAGTTGTGCTAAACCTTTACTGAAAATTGTTTTACTTGACATTTTGTGCGTTAGCAGTACCTCATACACTGTTTCATTTTGTTTTTGGGTACCTTGTATTTGGAAAAAAAAGTGAAGGATCTTTTACACTAATGGGACATACAATTTTGTAATCTGAATTTTGTTTTAAGTTTGCATTTTCCCATTTTAATCAATAGGCTGAAAGATGACAAACTTGTGAAATGTCACCATTATGATGGCCTAGTAGAGCTTGCCACGATCTGTGCACTTTGCAACGATTCATCTTTAGACTTCAATGAGGTTTGTATTTACTATGTATGTATGTATGTATGTATGTATGTATGTATGTATGTTTTTTAATTTTTTTATAAAGCAAATCTAAAGTGTTTTGCTATTGTGTAATGCAGCCAGCGGTTCTCTATGTTCATGATTTACTTGACCCAGACTCCTTTCTAAAGGCAAATGTTTTATAGGATATTGGTATACGTGCCAATTATGTTATGGATTTAGGATATGTCTGCCCTAAATTCTTTTTTCTGAATGTAGGCAAAGGGCGTTTACGAGAAAGTTGGAGAAGCTACAGAGACTGCTCTTACCTGTCTGGCTGAAAAAATGAATGTATTTGACACAGATCTAAAGGGACTCTCAAAGATAGAGCGTGCCAATGCTTGCAACTCGGTTAGTCTTCTATTTTTTTTTTTTTTCTTTTAGTTTGTATTTTCAGAGAATACTCAGTAAATTCAAACTAGTAAATTTCACATTTTGTGAAAGCTCTTTGAGAATGGTTAGAGGTATACAGGAAATCTCAAGGCTCCATTAAAAAAGGTTGATGGGTGGGCCAGCTTACTCCTCTGTGATGCTTTGGTAGTGTATGATGATGATGCTTCCTTATAGCCAAGATTGCCAGAACTCTTAATTTGTTTTATGCTTTATAGCCATCGTGTGCAGTTAGGGGGCTCATAGCTAAGAGGGGCTGCTGTTACCTATGTGCTGTCTTCAGGGCTCCGGGTCCTCTCCTGCTTTGCAGACAGCAGTTAAGGGCTTCATAACCGTTTGGTGTGGGGTTTTTTTTTTCTTTAATGCCTTTTCTGACCTCACTATCTTGTATGATTTAACAGCACCCAGGCTGCTGTTGTGGTGCTTCCACTCTTGCAGGAATACACATTTTCCTGAAATCTCTTGATTGTGGAAATCTATAATCATAGACTACCATTAATTAAAGATTTGTTTTATCTTACACGGCTAATTAAAATATAATTAGCCGTGTATGTATTTAGGGTACTACACCCCAAATTTACAAAAGCATAACAGATAGGGGGGGAGTGGGGGTGGATAAAGGGAGTGTTGGGTACCTTTTCTAAAATTAAACTGTACATGTATATGATAAAACCTGAATATATTTTTAATCCATTTCATAAAATACCAAATGTGACATTAGTTGACTTAAAGCAGCAGGGCTAACACTGCACAGCAAGGGATAAGTGCTTGTTTTTGCCTAGGGTCAAAAATAAAAGATTTACTCACCCAATTCTTTGATTCAGTTGTGTAGTCCCTACTCCCCTTGGCCCTCTTATCTCTTCCACTCACAATACAAACGTGCAATATTAGAGTCCCCCCAAAACTGTGGAATAATCCTTTTTGATCATGATGTACTGGGCAAGGCTAAACTGAGAAACCATCTTGCTTTCAAAGCGTTTCATGGTCAGTGCCGCTTCCTCAGGAGAGGGCTACAACAATTGTAAATATCTGTTAAAATCTTTTCCCAGTAAGATCTTAATGGGTCCCAGCCAAACCCAGGGTTTAGGTGAGAAGGCAGAAGAGGAGAACCTTTTAGTGCATCATGGAGCCTCTTTTCTTTGAGGAGACATTTTTGTTCAACATGGATGTGGCTATACTCCAGATACCCTTGAGGTAGCCATACGCCTATAGATTTATCTGCAGATTTTCTATGGTCAGATGTAGGGCTGCAGCTAACTATTATTTTCATAATCGATTAGTTAGCCGATTATTGAGCAATGCAGAAAACCAATGTATAATACACCGTCACACTGCACAACATTAGCAGCTATAGAGGAACAAGAAATCCCAACAATAATACATTATACAGGCTGCTTAATGTATTATTGCAGGGATTTGGTGTTCCTCTGTAGCTACTAATGTTCTGCAGTGTGCCGTTTAAAAAAAAAAAACAGCAAACATTAAAAAGCTCCCGGCGGATCTCGACTTACCTTGAATGACGGTGTTCTCGGCGGGCAGCGGCGTTGTTCGTTCTCGGCGGGCAGCGGCGAGTTGGGAAGCTCACCGGGAGGAGAGGGCCAGACGCATGTCCTCAGCGTGGACGCGGCGTCGCGTGACACCAGCGTAGGCGCAAGCGGCTTAACTGACGTGGGCGTGGCGTAAGAGGTGGGCGTAAGCAGCGTGCGTGAGTGGCGTGCAACGGCGAGCGGGAAATTTGAATTTTAGCCGATGAATCGACAATGGAAAATGTTGGCAACGTTTTCCATCGTCGATTTTAATCGAATAATTGTTGCAGCTCTAGTCAGATGGAAAAAGTGCAACAGATTCCTCCATCTATGCTAATCTGTAGATGGAGGAATTTCCCACTGGGCCAAGCTTCAGTATCTTGCTAGTCGGCCCCTCTGGCTCTAAAACCCCTGAACAATGCTTGCATTCAGTCAGATTGGTCAGGTATTTTGACAGGCAGCGGGGCTGACTATGTGTATGGCCAGCTTTAGAAAGAATAAGACACAGATGGGAAGCAAACTCCTCCATCTCCTTTAGCTTCATCCACTGTGATGGCTTCTTCATAAAAGATGTTTTATCTTCTGTCTATTAAGTCGATGTCAAATTTGGTATTTTATGATATGGAGTAAAAAGTAGTCTGGTTTTATGATCTATATGTGTACAGTTTAATTCCAAGGTATCTAAAAAGTCAGATACAATTTCTTCCTTTTTGTTAGCGCAGTTTAAAATAAGTTTTGGGCTCAGGTCCATTTTGTTCATCCTCCATGGCTAAAAGTTAAATCCTTGCGAGCAACGCTACCAGAACACAGTACTTCTAAAGAAGGGTAATCCAATTTGTGTAATATGGAATTGAGGAGACAGCCTGTCCAATAGAGGAGCCAGCAGGATTATTATTAGGGTCCAGCTTCATTAGCAATTAGACAAAATCTCAAACGCTAGGCGCCAGCTGTAATTTTTAGGGAGCATTGGCTGGGATTTGTCCAGCCCTGGTTTAAACTAAGAATATATATGGCGCATTTTGAAGATGGGGATTGTCTTGTGGTGGCGTGCAGAAATAAGCTGTGCATTACGTCTAGCCTGATGCAGCCAATATTGGCCTGTTTAACAGCGTACTAGTTTCTTCTGCTATAAAACATGAGATTTGCATCTACAAATAAGTTGTTTGTTTACAGGTTATTAAACAGTTGATGAAGAAGGAATTCACATTGGAGTTCTCAAGAGATAGGAAATCTATGTCTGTTTACTGCACACCAAACAAACCAAGTCGCACTAACCAGAACAAGATGTTTGTCAAGGTAAATGAATCTCCTTTCATGCAATAAAGATTTTATGTATTGTTGTTTTACCCAAATTCTATTTGCTACAATATTTTTGTTTTGGGTTTTAAATTCTTTTTATACTGATCTGTTGTTGTAGGGTGCTCCTGAAGGTTTAATAGATCGCTGTACTCATATTCGTGTTGGAAGTGCAAAAGTACTATTGACAGCTGGCATTAAACAGAAGATTACGACTGTGATCAGAGAGTGGGGCTCAGGCCGAGACACTCTGCGCTGCTTGGCTCTGGCAACTCATGATAACCCCCCACGGAAAGAAGATATGAATCTTGTGGAATCTTCCAATTTCATTAATTATGAGGTAAAGTATTTCTTTTGAAAAATGGATGCTGATTTTTCCCCCCCCCCCCAAAAAAAAAGAGAGAAACAAGGATATATAATCCGTCATAAATGCAATTTAAATCAAGCAAGAGGACCTTGTTGCACTGTTTCAACTAGCAATGTATTTAATAGTTAATGGTAACTTTTTTATATATTTTCTTACATGATTTATGTATTAAAGTTGATTGTCTTTTAATGTTTCCCTACCTTCAGACTAATCTGACTTTTGTCGGCTGTGTTGGAATGCTGGACCCTCCTAGAACCGAAGTGGCTGCATCAGTAAAAATGTGTCGGCAGGCTGGAATCCGCGTGATCATGATTACTGGTGATAACAAAGGCACAGCAGTTGCAATTTGCCGACGTATTGGTATCTTCCGTGAAGATGAAGATGTTTCTGAAAAAGCTTACACAGGTCGTGAGTTTGATGAGTTGTCACTGGCTGCACAGAGGGAAGCTTGCATGAATGCACGCTGCTTTGCTCGTGTGGAACCTTCACACAAGTCCAAAATTGTTGAGTTTCTGCAGTCTTTTGATGAGATCACAGCCATGGTAAGTAAATGAAGAACAAAAAATACTATTTCATAGGGCTATAAATATGTTGATCATTATTCTGTGAGGTGTGAGACTTTGGTTTAAAAATTAATCTGGAGTCTGGTGCTGTTGGAATATACTAGGATCTCTGAAGGCCTGCCGCGTACTGGATATTTGTTGTTTTACTGTATTTTTATGTTTGCAACCAAGCTGATTTTAAAAAAAAAGGAAGTATATCGCTCTGTTTTACTGAAATCTACTTTACACTGAATGGTGAACATTTTGGTTTTAGACTGGAGATGGTGTCAATGATGCCCCTGCCTTGAAAAAAGCAGAAATTGGAATAGCTATGGGATCTGGGACTGCAGTTGCCAAAACAGCTTCAGAAATGGTGCTGGCTGATGATAACTTCTCTACAATTGTGGCTGCTGTTGAGGAAGGGCGAGCCATCTACAACAACATGAAGCAGTTCATTCGGTACCTCATCTCTTCAAATGTTGGAGAAGTGGTTTGGTATGTATCAGATGAGGCCTGCTGTTTAGTTGGCACTGTTTTCTTTTGGGTTCGCTTACTTTCCCTGAAAACAGTCTTTTATATGTATTTTCTCTTTAAGTTATCTGTAGCTCATAGGGATTGTTGAAGATATCTAACTTATAATTCAAATTTGCACTGTATAGACTTTGTAGAAGGGTTTTAAGTAATGACTTTTTTTGATACACAGATATCTTTTTAATTAGCGGATATTTTGCTATGTAATTTCTTAAGCTATGGGTTAACTTGGTGACTGATGGTCTTCCTGCAACTGCACTGGGCTTTAATCCTCCAGATCTGGACATCATGAGCAAGCCACCCCGTAATCCTAAGGAACCACTCATAAGCGGCTGGCTCTTCTTCCGTTACCTAACTATCGGATGTGAGTATCTAATTTTTTAATGTTAGGGGGGGGAAAGCATGTGCATTTGTATATTTAGACCTTTTTGACTCTGTTCTGTGTAAATACAGGGTGTTTCCTGCCTGTCGTCATTTTGCTTTAACAAACATTAGAGATTGCCAAAACGTGTTCTGAAATGTTTTTGTATAATCTTCAATTACCTTTTATTCCTGAGCATGAGGTACATTTCTTAACGTGAGCCTACTACATTTCACATGAGTCAATAGGGTGTATGTCAGCATTATCAAATCACATTTTTAAATTAAAATATATCCCTTTTCTTGCCATGACCAAAAAGGCTGAGAGCGTCATCATATCACTTGCAGCTTAGGCAATGATCATAGGTGCTGTGGCTACCTGTTATTTGTGATTTGTTTTACCTATTTAAATAATTTTTAATCAATTATAATTTTGAGATGAGAGGAATAGGGCAAAGCTTACTTGTGTAGTTGACAACTATGACTGTACCTAAGTACATGTATAGATTTATAAACTTTGCACAAATAAGGTATGTAAATTAACCTTTTGATAAAATTCTTTACACTTAACTGATCGTTTTCACATGTATCTCTTAAAGACATGTGTTGTCATCAAATCTTGTGATATACAAAACAATTAAAAGCTAACTCTAATACCCTTTCCCTTTTCCCCTTCTTTGTTTTTGCCTTAGGTTATGTTGGTGCCGCAACAGTTGGTGCTGCTTCCTGGTGGTTTATTGCTGCTGATGATGGACCAAGAGTGACCTTTTATCAATTGGTAGGAATATATTGTGATTTTAGGTGTATGGGGAAGAATTAATCTTTTCATATCGATGTCCCATGCTTTTAATACATAAGATACATTTTGTGAAGTGAATTTCATAATCTGTATTTTTTACCTTTTTTTTATATTACAGTATGATCAAATACTTTATATGGATATGATCTTTTATTTTGCTAACAGGTGGTTATTGGTGATTCTTGCATGTAAAAGGGGAAAAAAACTATTTTAGCAAGAATTTTACAATAAAAATATATGCAACCTTGTTGAAAAATGTGCTTAGTGGTTGTATTTCTGGTAATTCAGATTTCTTTTTCTTCCAGAGCCATTTTCTTCAGTGCAAAGAGGACAATCCAGATTTTGAAAATGTTCAGTGTGAGATCTTTGAGTCTCCTTACCCAATGACGATGGCGTTGTCTGTTCTTGTCACTATTGAAATGTGTAATGCATTGAACAGGTAACTTTAACTGCACATTGAGGGTCATCTGCAGTCTATAATTCTCCCAACCATGTTTTATTTACAGCAAGTACCCGCCTATTAACCTCTCAAAATTCCAGCACGAATAGAGGCTCTCTACTCCGTATTTGATTAGGCTTGCTCTACCCCCTCCAAAGCGGTGCTCTAGCCTGACAATAGGACATGCATGCACCAAGTCTGTTTGGGATGGAGGGTTGCTTAGTACCCCAGTAGGTGGGTGAAGATGCTGGCTGCAATACAAGGCGTGATCTAGAACCTGATGGTGCCATATGTTCACAAAGTATCCTTGTTCAGTATTGGTTTTATTAATTGAGTTTCACTTTAAAGTGTTTTTAACTCAAATTTGTAGTTAATGGAGATACTTCCTGTGTGGAAAGCAGATGACAAATCGGCAGTTTCTTATTGGATACTGACTTGATGTTTAATGTGCTCTTGCAATGATTTTAATCTGTAAGTTTGGGGTTAAAGTGATGCCCATTATTGCCTAAATTAAGGCCCAACTCCAGGGAAATAAAGTTTTTTTTGGTTTTTTTCCTTGCAGTGGAGCTGCAGATTAGGCTTCAGAACTGAGCATATTTAATATATTTACTATGTTTTTATGACCAATTCTGTTGAGGGTCTACCTGCTTGGAGCAGTTGTCCATGCCTTGTGGTCTGTGACCATCTTCCTAGGGAATCTGGTTTTACTGTGTTATGTAATGTCCATTAAGATTATCTTTTATCCAGGTCATGGTATAGCTAAGAAGTCGTTGGTCTTATTCAATTGGACAAGTTTTGTAATGTTTTTTCGCTAGTGACTTAATATGGTGAAACACCATCATTACTGTGTTGTGTAATGTGTAGCTCTGGTTTTCATATGCTACAAATGAATGGAAATATCAGACTTTCACATTTCTTAATTTTTCTTTTAATTAAGTGTAATTTTTACAGCCATGGGGTAAATGTATCTAATTCCTGTGTTGCGTTCCTGTATTTTAATGACTTTGATGTGCAATAGACATAGTATTAAGAAACATATATTTTTTTTCTCAGCTTGTCTGAAAACCAGTCTCTTCTGAGAATGCCCCCGTGGGAGAATGTGTGGCTTCTGGGATCAATTTGCTTATCTATGTCCCTCCATTTCCTAATTCTTTATGTTGAACCATTACCTGTGAGTACTATTGCTTTTTACAACATTTGCGTTATTTTGCACTTTGCAGAAATCTCACTGACTTTACATTTTTGTTCTGCTTTTTCTATAGCTCATCTTCCAAATTACTCCATTGAACCTGATTCAGTGGTTGATGGTGCTGAAATTCTCATTACCGGTTATACTTCTGGATGAGACACTTAAATTTATTGCCCGTAACTACTTGGAACCTGGTAAAGAGTGTGAAAAGCCTGCCGCCAAACCGTGCACTTTTTCAGCATGCACTGAGGGGATTTCTTGGCCGTTTGTGTTCATTTCCTTACCTCTGATTATCTGGCTTTACAGCACCGACACTAACATTACTGAGATGTTTTGGTCTTGACTGACATTTTTACGGAATGGAAATGTTTAACTTAACCAATTCTTTTTTTTGTTTGTTTTTTTTAATTGTTTAAAGCAACTGTCTATTTCTGCTGAAATTTCACATGAACGTAGTGCTGGTGAAGGCAACTTTGTTTCTCATACTAGGTCTTATTTGGCTTCTCCCAAACGCACATCTCTTGATAAGAGGTGCTTCACTTTGGTTTGGGTTTTTTTTTCCTTTTGTTTTATACATATACACTTAGTGTTCATGTACAGAGAATTAACACTATTTTATGCAAATATTTTTTGTAGATGGGGAAAAAAAAGCATGTACAGTGTTCTGTTTCATAATATTAATTCTCGTTTAAAAAAAAAACCAAAAAAAAAAACACCCAAACATAAGGAAGCGAAAAGGAACTTTAATTTTGATTCAATGGACATTATCTGCAGAAAATTAGCAGCAGATTTAGGGAAAGTGATTTAAATGTCTAAAATACAAAGCATGATCTGTCTTTTTGCATGGTCATTTGGATTTGGTTTGATATCATTAATGCTGTCTGTTAAATGGGCTTTTTAAATAGCCATAAGCCATTTTTCCTGCACAAAGCAGATAACTGCTACCTCAGTCAGTATTTTTATTTTTTAGTTTCTCATTTCATTTATATATATTTTTTTTCTTTTTGTCTGTTTACACAGTTTTTCGTAAGAGGTATGCCTGTTTGCTTGTGCAGCTCATCCTACCCCCATCTAGTTCAAATAAAGTTTCCTCCAGTAGATTTTTAAGTTTATTTATTTAAATGTCTAATGTATTTTATTGTACGACATTTTCATTTTGCCAGTGTTGCCGATCTCATGGGCTATACTTCACATCCTAGACAAAAATAAAAACATTTTAATGGACAGATAAACCAATGTCTTGTCTTGACGAACTGCTTTATCACCCAAGTTCCTTATCTCCTTTTTTTTTTTTTTTTTTCATTAGAACATATTGTGTGAATGTGATCAAATAATTTGCACTGCAAAGATAAAGCTGGATCTTATTTCAGTTGTTGGCACGCAAGCATCCACCTATTATCATTGCAGGTTATTCTGCTAACTTGTATTACCAGAGTTGGGGAATTAACTTTGTGTATTTAATTTTTTTTAACTTGTAAATAGAACATGACCAAATGAACATATTGTATAGATCTATTTTTATTTGAAGGTGACACTAATGACCATCGTTTAACTGTTAGAGCATGTTTTTAGGTTGATTTTCCGTCAGCCTCCAAAGTTTAGATCATTAACCGTCCTAATTGTGGTGTTTTTCTCCAAATGCATTCCAACACATCAACTAAAGTGAGTATTCATTGCCTTTGAAACACTCCGTCATAGCCAGTTCATGTAACGATGCCAGAAATAAGTCTGTATTGTTGCTAAAGAATAAAAGTGGTTAAGTTTCCCATTGCTTTGCACTGAGTCTGTCCTGCACATTTCATGTACATACGCTTTGCAGACCAATCGCCTTTGGGCAAGTCTCTTAACACCTAGATGGCATACAATAACAGACAATGGTCCTGTAGATTCCAAAAGGAATTTTTATTACGGGTTTACTAAAATTACAAGCCAGTATGTCAAGTATTTTTGGCTAATTGAAAACTAACACTTTGCAATCTTTCTAGGGGCAGGTCGTCTTTTAGATTCACTTCTGAAACTTTGACCTATTTTTTCTGACAAACTTTTCAATATACTGATCTAGACTATTCAGTACATTATACATTAAAGTGACGCTAAACTCAGGAGATAAATCTTAAAAATACATTCAAGTACCTTAACTATTAACAAAAATGTATCTTTGGGTGTAGATCCTCAAATCATCTCTGAATTCATGCCAACACTGCCCTTCCTTCTGGAGGGTGGCTACTTTTGTTCCCCATGGTCCCTGTGTTTTGTAAAGCAGCCCCGGCTCCTACCTTGCCACCTTGATGGACTACAATCGCACATTTAGTTTACTTATTTGTATTGAGATTGTAGTCTATCACGAGAACGAGTAAAATCGGTGAATACTTTATAACACACACAGGGACCAGGAGGAACAAAAGTAGCCACCCTGCAGAAGGAAGGACAGTGTCTGCACCAATTCAGAGATGATTTTGAGGATCTACAGCCGAGTGGTACACAAATAAGTAACTTTTATTGATAAGGTACTTGAATGTATTTTTAAGAGTTAACATCTGAGTTTGGTGTCACTTTAAATTCTACTTTGGGTTAAGGTTTATCAAGCAGGTTTAATGCATGGGATGGGAAAATCATGACACAGCTGATTGACTTCCAAACCGAGATGTGACAATGGGAAATATTCCAGTAACATTTGCAGGAATTCTTGTGAGAAGATCTCATCTGACTGCAGACATGAAGAAATCTGTAACCTTTGCCATAGGTAGACACAGACAAACTGTGTTAGCCACCACACTTAGTCTGCAAACACGATCATGGAAATAGGAGATCAGTAAACAGGTAGTTCAGCTTTCCTGGGAGTACGTAGAGATAGGGAAATGTGAAAACTTCCCTCTGTATGTGGCTAGCAGCTGTGGTGGAACTATTCCCATGAGGCATTGCAAGATTCTCACAGCCACAGACATGACTCCTGGAAAGAGATGCATCATGGGATTTGTAGTTTCACCACGGCTGGAGTTTGGCTACCCCTGGGCTAAAGGATTCAACGTGTAAATCCATTTAAGTTCATTATGTTGCTGTGCCTTGAGCGCCTGACATAGATGCCAAATACTGTGATTGTTAATTTAGGGCCTGTTCACGCCATTGTACGGCAGTAACGTGTTGGCAGCTTGACAAGACATGCATTTTAGTGCACCGTAATGCGCTACAATGTAGTGTGGTGCGTTACAAAAATGGACATTTTTTGTTGTTGGGCAGCATTAATGCAATGCACAATAACACAGCACAAGTGTCAATGAAGCCATACATCAGCTTAAGGATCGGTCCACCTGTATAACCTTCATTCACTTCCACTCTTGAGTGATGTGGGTGCACCTACCAATTCTGATGCTGTAGCAGTACTTGAACATTGTTTTAAAAATGGCTTGTAATACAGAATTGGCATTTGCACTCTCAGCTTTTTAAGATGTTTGTGGGTTCATTGATGCATTCAGAATAAAGAACATGCATTTGTATGAAGTAAAAAAAAATAACACTGTTGAGCAGGTCAGTAGTCCTTGGCATATGTTGCTGTACAGACCACTATATTTAAGTGTTCAGATGTTTGGACAACAAGTGAATTAATTTACCTCTAATGAAAAGTATGCCAGGTCCAGAGTTCTGCTGGTTACTGTAGAAATGTCAGTTTAATGCCCGTAATGCACACAGCTCTCCTTTTCCAGCAATGCGACTGAGTTCCATTTCTTGTACAGTGCAGGGATCTCCCCTTGACCATTCACATTTTCTAAATGGGCAAGGGAGAGATAGGGGAGGGTAAACGACAGGATCTCCCCTTGTCCATTCACAGGACGCTTTGTATTTGGTTTAGAGTTTTGTGACTGAACAAGGGAAGGGGAGTGTAAACAACACGATCACTGCACTGTAGGAGAGCTGGAACTGTCAGTCTCGTCTTAAAAAAAAAAAAGTGTTAAAAGTTTAATATCTGGCATGAATAAACTGTCATTTCTACAGCAACTAGCAGCACTCTGTACCTTTGCATGTTCCTAATTAGAGGTAAATTTATATCCCTTTCCCTGGGATTCCACTTTAACAAAATGTGAGATGGATCTTCACAGACATGTCGGTGTTCAAATTGTTTATAGTTTTCAGTAGCTGTACATTACATACTAATCTAAGCAAGAAAATGAATGACTATAGTCTAATGAATATTTCAGTAATGATTCTCATCACCGTTCCACCAGTCCAACAAGGGCAATACTTGACAAGGCTCAGGATGTATGTGCATACAGATGTAGATGAGTTTGTTGGTACCCTTACAGCTCGTTCAAACAATGCTTAATTTCACATGAAAAGCGAAGAAATTAAAAGCAAATATATATATAATTTTGCTGAAATGCATATCGGCAAGCCACAATGCCTGTGGGAGGATGTCCTTTGGACAAATAAGACAAAACTGGAGATTTTTGGCAAGTCATATCAGCTCTATGTTCACAGGCAAAAAAAAAAAAAAAATGAAAACCTTCAGAGGAAATACCTAATTTGAAACATGGAGGAGGCTCAGTCAAGTTTTGTGGCTGCTCAGCTGCGTCCTGGCACTGAGTGCCTTTTGAATCTCTGCATAGTACAATAAAATCTCAAGACTTTCAAGGAATTCTAGAGCTCAGCATACCACCCACTGTCAGAAAGTTCTGCCTGTTGCAGGTCATGGGTCCTCCATCAGGATGATGGCCCAAAACACAAAAGCACCCAAGAATGGCTAAGACTATTCTGAAGTGGCCTTCTATGAGCCCTGATCTGTATCCTATAGAAGAAATAGCTGAAATTGCAGTCTGGAGAAGGCACCCTTCAAACCTGAGACAGCTGAAGCAGTTTAAAGGAGTGGGCGAAATTACCTATTGGCAACTACAGTAGTCTCCTTGAAAGCTACAGAAATCACTTATTTGCAGTGATTGCCTCTAAAGGTTGTACAGAGATCACATCATTTTTGGCCATGGCATTTTCATTTTTTATTTAAAATATTTTGTTGAATCAAAAAGGTCTTTGTTTTGTTTTTTATTACATATAGAACAAAAAAATATGATGGATGCAGAATACTTTGGTCACTTAAATTTTTGGAGAAAATTGTAGGTGCTTCTCGTTTGTGGAAGGGTACCAGCAAATTTCTCCACATTTGGAAACTCCCTTTTGCTCCCTTTTAGTCGTACAGTGGCAAATTATAGGAGTGTTTAGCCCCACAGGCCAGTCTGCTTTTATGGACCCCAATGTCCTTCAGAGAAAGAACCTTTATTGTGATTGGATGATGGCCGTAAATCCATAATGTCATTTAACAGGTAGGCGAGACGTTAATGCCAATAAAGCTCTTTTTGCAAATAAAAAATTTGTAGATTCCACCTAACAACAATGTGTTTTAGCTGCTTCTTAACCTAAAATGGCTAAATGCACAGGACAATAGTTTGCTCTTTGTAACACAGAACAATTAGTTGTTTCCATTGAGGTTTATCTTCAGTAATGGTCTTTCTACAGATAATTGCAGCTCCTCTGCCTAAGCCCATCATTCCAGTTTAGCAACAAGCCATATTTGTACGTTTCTCATGGTACACAGTGGATTCCTCAAGAGCCTGGACAAGGCAAAGCCTATTTTAAAATGAACTGTCATGCATCAATATTTCATTTGAGATAGCCAGAGAGGTGCACTTATTTTGTATAAAGCAACTTGTACTTTGGAGTTTCTAGCCCTTTAGTATGATACACATATTACTCCTGGTAATATGGTATTCTATGGAACATTAAGGCTGGTGTGTGAAGAGGTGTTTTTTGTTGCCCACAGCAAGCAAACAGAGTCCTTTTGATTTCCAAACCTGGACTTCACAAATAAGAATGTGATTGATCGCTATGGACAACAAACATTTTTTCTATAGTACAGGTTAGAATCTAGGCCCTGTCTCCACAAAAAAAACTTTCACCTTGTGAAATAAGGTTTTTTTATCTGAAAGTGGATCAGAGAATACAGTTATCTTATTGCCCATAGCAACCATGCAAGTGTCATTGTCTGGTTTCCAATAAGCAAAGCTTAACTTTTTCTTTGCTCCCTTTTATCGCTATTTGAGGCCTGAAATGTAAACCAAGAAAGCCAACCTAAATGAGCTGCTGCACAATGGTTCTGCAAATGCTCTGCAGGACATGTACAAGCTTCACGAGCACATCGAAAAGGTTTTGCATGCAGTTGGGCTGATTTAGCCAGAGAAGAAGCAGGAGAAGCAGATCTCTGCTTCATCAGCTGCTTTGGGGTTCCCAAGGTGACGGGTAGTATAGACCCCTGATGTCTCCATAAAGAGGACCAGTCATTGTATATTTATCGCATAGGGGGCTTGTTAGTCCCCTATGTGATAGCAATAAAGTTGTGTAAGAAAACAAAGTTTTAAAACGTGCGAAAACAACAATTAAACTTTGTTACATATCACTGCGCATCCCAGAGTGTGAGCAATAATTGACTGAGGTCACTCAACTGATGAGCAGTAAAAACATTTAAAGGTTTGCCCTTGGCCAGTTTTAGGTATGGTAGTTTTTTGCGATTTCACGAATTTTAAAGCTTGACGTGTTCAGTATCTTTTTACTTGACTTGACCCCATCTTCTATATTTAACCACAAATTGGGTATGAATAAATGTTTTATAACATAGGGAAAACGTGTGGTTTGTCTTTGGTTTTTTAATACCACCGGAAAAAAAAAAGCTCCATCTGTCCCAAAAAAATATAAAATAAATTTCAGTACGGCATTGCATGACGG